GGGGGGGCGGCAGTGCGGTCCTCCGGTTTCTTTCCTCGGTGTGGGTTTAAGGGGCATCTCGTAGCAGCCCCGAGATGAGCGAGGGGACGCCCATTTGTGCTCGGCCGCCGTGCACATCACGGGGAGGAGGGGAGCGACCTCTTCCCCGCTCCCTGCGCTCGCTGGCGGGGGGAATTTCCCTCGAGCAGTGTTTCCTGGAGGGGGGGAAAGTTGTTTTCTCTTCATGCCCCGGGGTCACGGTGTCTTTTTTCCTCTTTAAGCAGTTTTGACACCAGGTCTGTTCTGCACGCGCGGTACTAAAGCGGTGCCTCTTTCTTTCCGTCAGAAACGTGCGAGAACGTGGACTGTGGACCCGGGAAGAAATGTAAAATGAACAAGAAGAACAAACCTCGGTGTGTTTGTGCTCCGGATTGCTCTAATATCACTTGGAAGGGCCCCGTGTGTGGCTTAGATGGGAAAACCTACAGGAACGAGTGTGCCCTTCTCAAAGCCAGATGTAAAGAACAGCCCGAACTTGAAGTCCAGTATCAGGGCAAATGCAAAAGTAGGTTTGCAAATCTAATCGATCTCCCTCAAATGCCAAAGGGTGTGTGTCTGAGTGTAGGGAGGAGGAGCTGTTGGACGTACGTCCCCACAGGAACCAGGGTGATGTTCCAAGTGCTGGGAGACAGTAACTAAACCACACTCAACAGATGAGGATGTAGCTGGATTGAGAGTTGCCCACAGTCTAGCAGCACTTGTGTCCCACCAGCTACCCTGAGATGGGAAGGTTTTCCTCAGCGGCCCTTAAACAAGGAGAGCTGCTGAAGGCTTTTATCTGACCATGTGTTTTCATTGTGTCACACATTCACTCCTCGCTGGGACTCTGGGATCTCCTATTAATCACTGTGTGTTTCTGTCTTTATTTCAGAGACCTGTAGGGATGTTTTATGCCCGGGCAGCTCCACGTGTGTGGTTGACCAAACTAATAATGCCTACTGCGTGACATGTAATCGAATTTGCCCAGAGCCTACCTCTCCTGAACAGTATCTCTGCGGGAATGATGGCATAACTTACGCCAGTGCCTGCCACCTGAGGAAAGCGACTTGCCTACTGGGTAGATCCATCGGATTAGCCTACGAAGGAAAATGCGTCAGTAGGTATCTTGGTTGGAGGGGTAGGGGTGGGGAGGTAGGAACTTCCTCCATCAGCTGTTTCAGAATATTGTGTGTGGAATTGGATGGATGTAGTTACTGCTGGGGAGGAGAGACTTCCAGCAGCCTGGGTTGGTGCTCTCCTCCAGGAAGAGGAGAGCCAGGGTGAGCTTTGCCCCAAAAAAGATTGCAGAAGGGATGAGAGAGTAGAGGCCCTGATCCTGCTTCTCTTGCTGTCGCCGTGGGTGCTGACATTGGTATCCGAGGGAGAAGTACCCGCCATTAAATAGATGATGACACGGTTACGGCGTAACAAGGTCTTGATATTCAGTGGATCTGGATTCCTGGAAACAATTGTCTTCAAGTGGTCTTGGCAAAGCTTGCGTTAACTTAATTGGAAACATCTGATCACTTTTTCCTCTTTAGAAATATTGCAGAGTTTGGAGACAGTTGGTGGGTGAAGATAGGAAAATAATCTCTGTGCATCCTGACATTTTGTGTTGTGATTTCCAGAAAGGACTGATAGTGAAGCATGTTACAGGGAAGCACCTTCAGGGCAGCCTCTGCTCCGCAAAACTGCTGGGGGAATTCAGGGGAGTCTTGGGCTGCTTTTACTTGGCATAGGTTGAGGTGAATTCCCTTTCCAGTCTTGTAGACAGCTACTCTGTGTGGGTTAGTTTAAAAATAATTGATTTAGAAATGCTGAATGTGTTGGCAAATTCTGCACTTTACCACTTATTTGTGGAGCTGAATTTCCACTGACATCAAACAGAGCAGGGAGGTCATGTACAATAGGCAAATGTAATTCTGTATTCCCAGGGCCAAGCTCTGCTGGCACAGCTGTCTTTCCTCCCCCACATATAGACAGGCAATGGTGTCCAAGGGACTACTTGCTTGAGCAAAATCAGCAAGTATCATCACATCTACTGCGTCTGAGCTTTGTCTATTCATAGTTCACAGGGGAAAGGCAGTTTGGGGTTGTTTGTTGTTGCTTTTCTTTTTTCTTTGTCTTTTCACTTACCTCTAGTATCCTGTGTATATTTTTAGAAGCCAAATCCTGTGAAGACATTCAGTGCAGTGCTGGGAAGAAATGCTTGTGGGATTTTAAGGTTGGCAGAGGTCGGTGCGCCCTCTGTGATGAGCTATGCCCTGAAAGCAAGTCAGACGAGGCAGTCTGTGCCAGCGATAACACAACTTACCCAAGCGAGTGTGCCATGAAAGAGGCAGCCTGCTCCATGGGTGTGCTTCTAGAAGTAAAGCACTCTGGATCTTGCAACTGTAAGTGAGATTTTTAACTCTGCAGACACTTAAAGCTTCTGAAGGCAATCCCTAGGTAATGAAGACTTACACCTTTACACGTAAGAAAGCTCGATGTAGAGATTCGAGATACGGTGCAGTTGCTGTATAAGTACGTATCTGTCACACACACTCTTTGGCTACTGATCAAATGCAATAGATCTCGAACAACCAGTTGGCCTTCAAGTTGGGGTTTTGGGGCTATTCTGAGGACAAGTCATTTTGTCAGAAAGGGGTTGCCCTAGGAGCGTAATTCTAGCGATTTTTTCCTACTTTGTCTGCTCTCGTGTGCTTCGCTGATTGCTCTGTTAACACCCGGATAAACTCTAACTCGGTCCAAAAGAACAAGCTTAATGATAGCACATGGGCACTTGGTTTAGCACAGTTGCCTCTACTAACTCTGAATGAAGGACATAAAGCAGTTAAACCTAGAACACAAGAGCGCTTTTTATTTGATTTCAGGAATCTGCCAATAAAACCTGAGCCATTGATTCTTCAGAACTTTCTGCAGTTATGACTTCATAGATTATGTATAAAAAAGCTTATTGCGTAACAGCAGATGCCAAAGAGCATCTCACTACAAGTCGCATAAAATGCAACGCTGTATTATGGCTGTTCAGAGGGCTTTGAAAACATGCACTGAGCTGCTTCTGCGCTGTTGTTGTCCTTATTTAAACAACAGCTCCCCTGTATTCCCCCATCTAGCCATTAATGAAGACCCAGAGGATGAAGAGGAAGATGAAGACCAGGACTACAGCTTTCCTATATCTTCCATTCTAGAGTGGTAAAACCTCCATCACTTTTGGAACAGCCATTGGGCACGAAATCAATGTCCATACTGTAAATAAGTGTATGCTTATTTATTTTGGGGAGAAAAAAAAGTATACATATAGTTGAGTCTCGTAGACATTTATTTATACTGTGTCATGTTTTATAATTTATGCATAAAATGTCTGGTTGACTGTACACCTTGTTTTTTGAAGAAATTTATTCGTTACGGGAAGAGCAGTGTTATTTATTGTGAGGTCTCTTGCTTGTAAACTAAAGCTTTTCTTTTTTCTTGTAAACTATGAAAGTCCATTCCTTAGAGCTTACCACCACGATCTCATCTCTTTGTTTCACTGATGTTAACTCTTTTCCACTTTAACAAACTTGCATGTTGGTTTCTGTTATGTTTATTTATTGGATTTTCTTCTTGCTGGTTCTGTACATAAAAGATCCCTCAGATTTTTGTTTACAAGGAATCTTGACTGACCAAAAGGCGTTGTAACTGACTTAAGTATACTTCCAGGGTGCAGTGAGGTGATCTTTAAGGAAACTTCTTCCACTTCTCTTTTCTCTACTTCTGATCACATCATGTACTGAAGTGATCTCAATGTGCTGAGCATATATACTGTACTATACGAATTCCGGATCCAAAGATATCGGATTATGAAGGTTATTAATAGCTACAGGGCTAACTTTAATAAGAATAAAGGTTTTCTTTTATTCTTATTGTTTTGGGGATTTTGTAATATGCATAACTGTTTATCAGGTGTTTTCTTTAATATAGTCTTGTAGTACCACTTTCCAAGTTTTCTTTTCCCAACCAGTGTGTCACTAAAAGTTATATCAAAGCTTTATCAGTTCAAGTTTCTTGCTTTTCATAATACTTTTTTTCTGATGCAATTTTATATTTTCAAACATGGCAAGTTAAATATAAATTCATTTAAATATATAGTTTTGTACTTTTCTACCATGTAAATGTGCAATGTATATAAAAGTTATAAAGTGTATTTGTAAAT